TTGCTACTACACCGATGACAAACCCCTCAAATAGTTTCTTTTTAATTTTCAACAAATTTGTTTACCTTTACTTTAAAGAAACCCCTTGAATCATGCAAAGACATAAATAATTGCATCCAAATTAATTTTCGATAAAGTGACTTTCAACTATTCTGAAAGACCGATACAAGAAAGGAGAAAGGTTGATGGTGAAAGTGAAACTTAAGTGTCTTAGCTTTATTAGTTTAATAAAAGCTGGTAAATAAAGAAATTGTCGTTTTCTTTAAATATAGGTTTATAACTATGGTGTGAATTTACAGTAGCGAAGAGCATTGAAACTGACCAACATACTTAGAAGTGTTGAGATAATGAGTGGAAAATCTTACCAAAATCCACTCAATCTAGACTAATGCGTTGACTCTATTGGACTCACATGGCGGCAATAAGTGCGTTGAAAGATTGATCTTATATTAGTGGCAATGAAGATTTACCTTTTTTATTACTTTAAAAGATTACAATATCGATATATAAAACTCACAGATAGTTAATACTAAATCAAACGAGAAGCTTACTATATGCTACTATATAAGATCAATACGGTCTTAATTCAACTATTGAATCAATTACACAATTAGAAAACACCTAAAGCACTATAATTCACAATTTTTAATTAAAAATATTGTAAAAAAATGAAAAATAGTACTACTCAAAGAAAAAATTATTTTATAAAAAAGTAACAATTATTTGACTTCCCAAATATTAATGACAATGATATATAAAATAAAACAGCATGAGTGCTACTTTTGGAAAATGGTATTTTCGAATTCTAAACTAAGTTTTCACACCAATTTGGTACTGTTATCTGAAAACCTTTATATAATCAACTACGAAAGAAACCATTTTACAAGAAATGAAATAAAAACCTAAAAAATGACTGTATGTGTTTGGATACAAATATGATGTCAACTACAGTGTTTTTGTAATTTTCAACTATAACAATATAACTAATGTTGGCGCCAGACTTTATTAATATTGACATTGTCGTCATAAGTCCAAAGACAGAAAGTAGACATAAATAAATCGTACTGAAACTGATTTAATTCTAAATAAAAGAGGATTAGTTTTAAATTACTTAGATAAAGCAAGATGCTTAGGCTAACTCACAATATCTTAATACTCAAAATATATATTTAGATACAGGCATTTCACTCTTGAAATGAAAAAGACAAAGAAGGCCTATGCTAATTGACCGAATTTGGTTTAATAGCTTTTCACTACTCGATCATTTACATATTTTGTCACACCAACTAGGTATAAATAAATTCGTGAATATACAACTGATATACGTAAACAACCTGTCTGATACACGACCGACAACCATACCAGTATACTATGAGGGTCTTGAAGAAATCAAACCACTAATTATGTTGATTTTTTGGAAGTAGAGGAATTTTAGGGAAACCATCTTGTGTCACGTACAATCGAAATAAAAGTCCCCATGCAATACGTGGGGAAAATCATTGACATTGACTTTATGTGTGTGCTCTCTTTAAAGGTCTTCGCTGCAAAGGCGCGGATCTAAGATTTGAAGTTTATAAACTTTTACAGCGATCTCAAGTTAATAATTGGGTTTACAATCAAATACTTACAAATATTTAATAAAATTGTAATGCATATATAAAGTCTGGACAAAAGCTACTGGATTCTCGAGAAACCCACATCTTAGCCTCTAGATCTGCCACTGTTTGGCTGAGATTAAGGCACTCATAAACCAGTTGACTAACACAATTGTATAATTATCTCTGTGGAAGGAGTGTCAGCAACCAGAAAAGATAAAGCCTCCAAAATAGGATTTTTGGTACAACACTACAACCTAACCTATTAATTAGCGTCTTTCAACAAATACAAAAGACCGAATGGAAAAGAGTTCTAAGATAAAACTAGATTCATACTAGAGAAGAGTAGAGACCTATCATCCATAATTAAGGGCTGAGAATTCCACTCATGGAAAATAAGTAAACGCCAAATTGTGATTTACCCCATTTTTTCTCTCTTTTTCCTCTATGAAGTCAATAGCCATAGGGGTGACAAACGGGCAGGTTGGGTCGAATGTGAGAGGGTCGAAAACGGATGATGCATAAACGGATAAATTATTTGACCCGGCCCCCATTTCATACAGATAAAAAATAGATTAACCGGCGGATAATATGAATATCCATATTATCCATGACTTATTGAATATGATCACTTTTGGGAGAATTCCTATTCTCCTAAACTTGAGGAACCCCAATTTGAGGCTTTACAAAGGTAAAAATTAAACTCATTGGCTATCTATTTTCTAAATGGATATAATTCTTATCAGAGGCGGACCCAGGATTTGAACATTACGGGGGCACCATTATCTTTAATGTAAATATGAAAATAATAGTAGTTGCAATAAAGTCTGGCGTTCAACTCTTTGAAAACTTAATGATTACGAATTTGTAGCCAAAAGAATGTTCAAAATTTAAAAATTTAAACAAAATCAAGACTAATAAAGGTCTATAAGCAGTCCAAAAAGTCTCAACCGACGTCGCAGAGTCAACAGATACTTGCTACTTTGCCAAAGTAAACGTTGAAGGAAGAAGGGTTTAGTTGTCTTTATTTTTTCTAAAATGAAATAATAATAAAAATTGGTTAGAGATAAAGATTATAGACTAATGGTACTAGTTAATGAAATATTTTATCCCCCTTTCCTACTGTCTTTAATCATTATTTTTATGTCTCCATATTAACTTTTCAGAGTCTAGAAAGATGTATCTCCAATGGAGTTTTTGACTATTTTATGTAGATGAAAAACTAATCGTGAAGAGAAGTTGAATTTTGGAGCTTAGATGGAGAGATCTAAAAAAAAAAAAAAAAAAAAAGTGACTTCTATGTACTAGTACAAAATTAATGTTTGAATTAAAAAATAAATAGACCAAGTTGACTACTAAATATGGAGTACTAAACTATCGTTCAATTAAAAAAGGAAAAAAGAAAGAAACGGTGGTGTGGTCTCGATCCTGGGTCTAGCAGCAAGCGAACAAAACTTTAAAAGCCGGCTGAACCAGTGCAACGATGGAGCAACTTGTTTTGGGGGGCACAATTAAATTATTATAGGGTTCCTCGACATATATACAGTAATATATACATAGTTTTCCCCGAACCTATAGGGTGCCAGTGACCCCTCACCTCTCCACGTGGGTCCGCCCCTGATTCTTATCCATATTCAAGCGTTTTTAAAAAGTTCATTATCCAACCCAATTTTAATGAATAATTAGTGTTGTCAAAGATGCACTTAAAGCGCGCTTAAGCCCTGAAGCGAGGCTCAAAACATGTTGAGCGCTTTGCCTCGCTTTGTGGCGCTTTAGTGTGGCATTAAGGCTCTAAGGCATACTTTTCCTTGTCAATGAGTGTAATCCTGAAAACGCGACACTAAACAATTGATTTTCACTTTATCGTAATTTTATTTTTTTTAATTTCTTTGTCCAATGTTTTTTATTCATGCTTATAATTATTAATCTTGGACTACATATATACATATTTTTACTTTTTCTCCAGTTGCGCTTTTTTCATTAAAGTTCACGCTTTATTTGCGCTTTAAGAAGCAACGGACCTTAGAACTTTTTTGCGCTTTTCGCCTTTGATAACACTGAGATAATATGGGTGAATAACTGTTTTCTCTTATCTATTTTGTCACTACTAGCCACAAACGAAAATGGCAATATTCTAACAAAAGGATTACCTGAAATTGAGTGGTTTTTTCATGGTGACTTTCTTATTCACTTGGAATACTATTCCTTATTTGAACCATCATTTCCCGGATATCCTCTCAAGATTGCCGGCCATGAAACCATTATCTAAAAACAACTTGTTATAATGTGATTGTTTTATTATGCCATCTCTTCTTAAGCCAAACATCAAATAGTCATCGCACTGCCTAACAGAGACATGGTTATCTTATGTAGATTCTGTTTTTGTAGTATATGCCGAACCTGATGTGTCAAGCAACAATAGACTAGATTGAAATAGTAACTCTTCTTTGCTATCCAATTTAAGGGTACAAACTGGAACGTACTATTATTTTGGATAAATTAATTGCCAGTATATGTTGTGCATTATTCAAGATTAGTGATAGTTTCTGTAGAGATGCAAAAGAAACTAATGCCACGAAATGACAAGAAGATGATCCAAAATCTTAACATGCAGGGATATGCAATCACATAGACTTATGAGGGGTATTTGATAGATGCTAATTCAACCTTTTCCAAAATAGAGCTACCCACCCAATTTTCTCTCTGGAGACTGGATAGAGTGGACAAGTGGGTAAGAGCACTAATCTCTGGGTGGAGCATATGACAAATTGAAAACAGCAAACACTTTATTATGGCCATATATATCGTGAAATTTATCGAAATGTTGTAGGCATAATAATAGCAAGCCTATAAAGACTTCCTTTTCTTTTTTGGCCTAAACTCTTTGACACGACAAGATAGGAGACGAGGCGAGAGAAAGAAGCTCATTTACGTACATGAGAGTAATAGCATCATGTGTAAAACGCAATAAGAAAGTCCATTGCCATTTCACTGTTCTTGCTCTGTACCGTTTGGGAAAACCACTCAAAAAAGTATGTCAAACACCCAAGAATAGTCCACCATTTGCTTCACCAAAGTAAGTCATAACTCGCAAAAAAAAAGGCAGACATCATGCACTGGTCGACAAATCTACTATAATCAGTCTGTGTGCACCACTTACTTCGTTTTCAACGAGATCTCAATCCAATCAGGTAAATCAGGGAAAACTATGAGCCACCCATTAAAACAAGGGTTTAACTTGTAGTATACAAAATATACCGAACACGATTATGTCGCCAAGTAACTCTCTATAATAATTAGGATTAGTGATACGGAAACAAAGCAGGTAACCGGTTACACAACAGGTAAAATACACTGATAGTCTAAAAGAATTATAACATTGTATGTGTATTTAAAATAAATCTGTAAATCAAGTGCATGCCCAAGCTTATATTAATTCAAAAGGTATTAGAATGCAATGCAGAGTACCAGTCTCCTTTATCATAGCAACAGGATGAAGAAACAAATGAAAGAACGGAATGAAGGAAAATCAGGATAGCCCAGCTGTTCGATGTCAAAACAAATTATAAGAGGACTAAAACATAATTCTTGTAAAGCGAATGCTAAGCAAGTATATCAAACAATTTATTGTCCCACAAGAGAATCGTTCCACGTGGGCCAGCAAGGCCCAGACATCCCTGCTAAAGTTACACATGGGTTTGACCCTGTCCAACCAGCCCAACCTTTTCTCACTGTTTTTAGCCCATGGGACCAGTATACAGCCCGAGGTTTGAGCCCAGCTGGTTAGAGAAAAATGAGGGAGAGACAGCTCACAGCTAGTTTAATGTTTTTAATCACAAAATGTTTGACATTTTTACTTCCCCTATTTAGACATGAGTAATATCGCAGCCTATAGTGCATTTCATGAAGATTCAAATTTTAATTATGTTTAATTGAATAAATTAATCTAATCCAATTTAGATATGAAAATTGTCGAATTGACACACGAAAATTTAGAGCCAAACGCATACTAACCTCGAGTATTCAAGTATGCTTGCAACCATCAAAGCAGATAAAGGTTGCCAACAAATATGAACCTCCAGTCTTGCCAGGAATGAAGGAAAGACCATAATACAGCAATTCTGGTCACACGGGCATATCTACATTCGCCAAAGGCAGTACTATGTAGTAAATTCAAACAATATATAAGTGGCTTTCTGGATACCAGGAAATTATCAAATTCCAAAACAATAATAATAATAATAATAATAATAATAATAATAATAAAATCAAGTTGGATACCAGGAAATGAAGTGAAGAATCCATGGTGCTCTGCCCGATTAGAATGTGTCACTTTTCATGAATGCCAGAAAGCTTCAATATGATGCAAGATCTTAAACCTCTCGAACCATCTAAACATGCTGACATAGCAGCAACATAACATAATGAAACACTACATTAAAGTACCAAAGTGCCTAATATTTGCCATCAGTTGGCAAAGGAACTTAGCATGCAACATCAATAGCAGTAAGAACCTTGTGCACTCATACGCTGGTAAGACTGCTGTTGCGTCTTGACGCTTCGGTATGGCGCTTGATGAGGATTAACATTCTGGTAAGGCAAATAAAATATCCACGCTGCTCGGACTCACCGAAAATGTCCCTAGGTGTGTGTCGGATCCTCCAAAAATAGTGCATTTTTAGAGGATCCGACACGGGGGCGGCAGCATTTTGGAGAGTCTGCGCAACATACTGAGAAGGACAAATGCTAGAGTTGCTACCTTGAGCAATATAATTTTGGTAACTGCTTTATTGAGTGTAAGCACTCTGCTGAACTTCACTGCTCCCTCCAGCAGAAGACTCAAATCCCTGAAAAGTATTCTGCGCCGCATTTAAATTATCTGAAGGCCCACAAATATCATCAACAAATCCAGACCCAACAGAATGAGGATCCCGGGACCTTGGCCTATTCCAGCTACCTGGAATTTAGACTTAAGATCATTAGCAATAAGTTACTATAGGAAAAAATCTTAAAAAAGAAAACTTCCGGCAAACACCAGACCTAATTTAAGTGTAAGAACAAGACTAAGCCTTAATCTCAACTAGGTGGTATATATGAATCTGTTACTTCTATTGAGTAAGAATGACTGCTTGAATAACACAAACATTGGTGAGAATCCAATGGATGAAAACCTAAGATTTCCTCCACAATGTTCGGCCGTTCGCACAAGGAAGGTGAGTCAGGGCCTAAGATCAGTGCATCCTACTCTTCGTTAATCCACACGGGTGTAATACCCATATTGATAAACTTGAAAATTTAAGTCCAGAGTGTGTCCTGAGTGTCACTTAATGGTTAAACCACTGAAATTTCAGCACCAAAAGCATTAACGTTATTGACACAATGTGTAATGTTAAATGCTGATTTGAGTTGTCTACTTAATGTTTTATAAGAACTAGAGAATGAACACATGCGAATTCCACTACTAGGCAGTAAGTTTAAACTTAAATATATGTACACTTACATCTCACATACAGAAAGTTTGACTTCAGGTGAGCTGTTAATTTATATCAAATTTGATTATAAGATATTTCACTTCATTCACTTCAAGGCCTGGTTCAAGTGACAAAGGTTGAAGGATTTGTGACTAAGGTCACATGTTCGAGCCCTACGTCATGCGAACAAGCCTGGTATTTAAGAAGCCAAGGGTAGAGGGGCGAGCCATTATCCTCGAGTTTTGAAGGTTGTTGTCGGTCCCAGACAGATTTCTAGATCGTAAAAGAAATTCTCCATATACATCACACCATATTCCAACTTCAGAGTTCCGACACATGTTCAATTTATTTGGATTAAAATATGTGAAAAGATTCGAAACAATACTTTAAGGTAGTGTTACGTGACTTTCATTTGCAATTTAACATGTACAGCGGTAATTTTGTCCACAAAGGTTTAGGCAAATGGAATGAAATCACGCAGCATTTCTCGCCTCCATTGTGATTTGAACCTAAGACCTCATGGTTCTTCCCAACTTCATTGACCATTAAGTCACCAATGCTATTATTCTGTTCCTTTCCCTCCAAAGCACCCACATAAGTACTAGTAGGGCTACATTTCACGCTCTAAACCGTCTTCTTCTCCTTAATGCCCAGCTATGCATCACCCCCTCCACAATCTCAAGCATTGTCGATTATAAGTAAAATTCGGGAAATTAAGATCAACTATCAGGCAGACAAGGAAAGATGCCAATACTAGGTTCCTAGCAGCTCGAATGCAATTCAAAATACTAATATACTATACTTCAGCCTTTAAGTACTTCCCGCCCATTATTTGACATGTCACGAAATTATATTCACCGAATGATCAATGATAATGCTAACTAACATTATTTGTTTGTAGGAAGAATGATATTAACCAGTTCACTATGATTTTGTAAAATACATTTACCGGCAAAAATGCGAAAAATTAGGCTTCCAGGGAGTAAATTGGAGCAAAGAGGATAGAGAAGAGTCAGATGCTTACCATTTCCGACATCGGAAAGTAGAGCCGGCAAGAGACCCGTCGGAATAATAGCGGTTTTCACCGCGCTAAAGGATTCTCAAAACGGTTGCTAGAAGCTAAAGGAACGGGAGTCCGTATGGCTTTCAGCACAAGAGTTTGGGCCCTAGGCTCTGGTAGTTATTGGGCTACTGCGAACCAGTCCTATAATGGGTAGAAATGACACCGATTAGCCCTTCTAAAGGGCTGCTATCTAGAAATTAGCCAGTGCGTTCTGAATTTACTTTTTCAGTTCAATTTCTCAGGACAACAATATTCTAAATTTTGTTGAAGTTAAAATTTTTAGTTTAAAATTTCACGGCAAAATAAGTATTGGCTAATTCCTAACTAACATCCATGAGAATAACTATTTGTGTACTTGCCCCTATAATGGTCGCCTTTTGGAGGCGAAATGCACAATTAGCCATTTTAGGACCTATATTGAAAATAGCCCAAATTCACAAAATTTATGAAGTTTAGTCGCTTTACAATCACTTTTAGACATACAGGTCTAAAATTGAAATTGTGAGTTCAAAGTTCAAAATTCAACTGTCAAGCCTAATTTTCAAATGGGAAAATCTCACTTTATACTCATTAAATTCAAACTATTTACCCTTAAATATCCATGCCTAAACTATTTACTTTTCCTACGTATGCAATCAATACTATTTGCTCGCCCACATTAGATTCTTTGGAGTGGTTAGCTATTCGTTTTTATTTTTTTCTTCCTTTCTAATACAGATTGTTAGCGTCGTCTTTACCTTTTAATATAGAGTGGTGGACATGGGATATTCTTTTGTAATAAGTGTAGTTTTTTTATACTTGCCTGGTGCTTATATTTTGTACTCGTTGAAGGACAAATTAGTGAAATTGCAGTTTCATTAGGAGATAATTCCATCTTGTATTACTTTTGCGTGTTAGCATACAGGGAAAAAAAATAGTAAGCAGGTGTGTTATTATAAGCAGGTGTGCTGAATCAAATCGATCCAGCACTACTCCATTGGTCTCCAATTAAATGTAGCTAATATTGTTCTTTGATGTGTAGATTGTACCTTTGATGCTGGTTTTTGGAGATTTATTGTACAAAAATTTAAATCCACCATTGACGGACCTTGAAGCTTGAAACTCATAACTTGTTTTGTTTGAGTTTTTAATTGTTTTGATCCGATCCTGTATGTGTTAGTTAGAAAGTTGATTGGAGGTTGTAGCTAAAGTTTTAGTCAATTTGGTGGAGATTTTGTAGTAAATTTTAGAAATTTGGGTTGAAATATAGTTGAACCAGAGAAGAAGACGAATTTGTATTGTATACGCAAATAGTATACAAATATACCATTATTATATACAATTCATTCCAACTATATACCCTATTAGTATAGCTATATACTATATTGTTATCATATGCTAGTTGAATTATTTTTTGATTGTATTAGCTGCATTTAATTGGTACAATATTTGATTTTCTTTTAATAATAGTAATATAGTACAATATCTTGAAATACTTTATTATATTAATATGTGGTGCACTATTTTTTTATTTTCTCTTTATGCATGTGTGTTATGTAATAGTAGTATAGTCATATAGTTGTCGGAAATTAACTAGTAAAAATCTATACCATGTTGGTATAGTTATATGCCATATTGGTGTCATATGGTAGTTTGAACATTGTTTTGGTTGTTTTAGCTGCATTTTAAGTGAATTCTATTTTGAAATTATTTATATCAACATGAGTTGCAATAATGCTGGAATTTTTGTGTGCCGATGGACATAAATTATGCGTATTAATAGTATTTATAGTTATAGGCAATTGTTGGAACGACCTCATACAACTATATACCCTCTTAGTATACGAAATGAGCAAGTTGTTTTGCGAATATTTAGCTTGCAATACGAGCATGTTATTTTCTCATAATTTTATTACGTCCTTTAATGTTTTGGTAGAGTAGTATAGTCGCAGATAGTTGTAGCAATATTCTAGAGAAATCATATGCTCTGTTGGTGTATATATATACCATATTGGTATCACATGGTACTAGAAGTCTTTTTCGCTACTTATACTTTGTTCTATTTTTTAATATTTTATTATCATTTTTATTCAAACTAGTATATATGGAGATTTGGTTGCCGTAGATTATATTTTCTTGCTCTATAACTGGTTGTATTACTGCTAATAGTAGAGTGTGTATTGATATTTATAGGGAAGGAGATCAAGGTTTGCATGGCAATCACATGTTGATTCTTAGAATCTGATTATGTAATCTATGGTGCTCAACAGCAGTCAATGTGATATTCAGTGTATTAGATCAAGTGACAACTGATATTATTTCAGTTTAATAATTAAATTTAAAAAATGAGAAAGAAAAATAAAATAAAAGGTATATTGTACTAGTTATATTAAAAAAAGGTGAACAAATATTTTCTATATCAATTATTTTTCTTATTGTATAAAAAAAGAATAATAAAAAATAGTGAAAACGGTAAATGAAATTAGATTATGAAGAGAAAAAGAATATAAAAAAAAAGAAGTTAAATGAAATTAGAAAAGGAAAAAAGAAAAAAATAAGAAGAAAACGAGAAAAAAGAAAAACAGAAAAGAAAAAAAAAGAAAAAAAAGAAGAAAAGAAGCATAGAAATAAAAAAGAATTGGAGAATAAAGAAAAAGTTCCCTACAAAACTACTATGGGTAAGAAATATAATTAGTTTATGGGTAGAAAAACAAATGGGTAGATAAGGGTAAATAATTTTATTTTTGTGGGTAACTGTGTTAAAACCCCATTTTAAATCTCATGTCAGAATTTGTATTATAAACTTCAAGTATGAAATAAGCCTTTGCAAAGCCCAACTTCAAAGATCCCAGTTTTAAACTCGAAAGTCTACAAAAAAAACAACAGCAACATGTTCAATTTGATAGTATTTGTCAAAACTAATTAAATTTCAAATAATTTTTAAAAATTAATGATGTTTTAAATAGTGGTATAAGAAGCTATCTGGTATTATTTTTACGCTCTGTTGAGGGTATATGATTTTTGGGAGGACTCTAGTTTTCACTAGTGAAAAACAAGCAAAAAGATCATGTGTGAAACAAATTGAAAAAACTTTATTTTATGCTCAATGCACAAAGGTAGTTGGTTTTTAAGCAGCATGGTCGAAAAATTATTTTTAATATAATTAAACTATCTTTAAATTAACCATGATGATTTGTTTTCTACTATTGTTTGGTATGGTTGGAAGGAATATACAAACAATATATCTCATAATTTTAAATCTAATTTTCAACCAATTAAAAATGTTGACATGGAGAGGATATGTGACGACCCGGCCCGTCGTCACGTGAGTTACCGCCCCGTTTCCCCCATTTTCTGCTTCCTTATGTTTCATTATGAGAGTCTCGAGTGAGTGAGTTGAATTGGATTGGTTTTAGATGGAAATAAGACACCTAGTCTCTTTAAGGAAGGTTTGAATTGGAAAAGTCAACCGGATGTTGACTTATGAGTTAGAGGGCTCGGATGTGATTTCCGGTGATTTGGTTAGCTTCGGATGGTGATTTGTGACTTAGGAGTGTGATCGGAATTGATTTTGGAGGTCCGGTGTAGAATTAGGCTTGAATTGGCGAAGTTAGTATTTTGGCGAATTCCGGTTGATAGGTGAGATTTTGATCCGAGGGTCGGAATGGAATTTCAAGAGTTGCTGTAGCTTCGTTAGGTGATTTTGGATGTGTGTGCAAAATTTCAGGTCATTCGGAGGTGTTTTGGTCGGGTTTTTGATCAAATGCATATTTCGGAAGTTTTTGAGAAACTTAGGCTTGAATTCGGTGAGAATTGATGATTTTAGCGTTGTTAGATGTGTTTTGATGATTGGAACAAGTTTGAATGATGTTTTAAGATGGGTTGGTGCTTTTGGTTGAGGTCCCGGGGGCCTCGGGATGATTTCGGATGGTCAATCGGACCAATTTTGGCCTTTGAAGATTGCAGGTTTCCAGCTATTTTGTTGCAGAAGAATTGATCTTCGCGTTCGCGTTGGTGAGTCGCGAACGCGTAGAAGGGAATTTCAGGACCAGTGTTTTGGCCTTCGCGTTCGCGTCTTGGGCCTCGCGATCGCGGAAGGATCAGGTGTTGAGTCATCGCGTTCGCGTATAAGGAGTTGGGTTCCAGGGCTTTTGCCCTTCGCGTTCGCGTGGTACTGTCCGCGTTCGCGTAAGCTTAAGGTTCCAGACCTTCGCGTTCGCATGGGTGCAACCACGTTCGCAAAGGGTATTTTTGGCAGAGGTGGATTTTGTTCATCGCGAACGCAAGAGGTCCCTCGCGTTCGCATAGAGGAAAATAAGCCTGGGCAGAAGGTTTTTATTAGACATTTCATCCGCGAACCAAGTCTCATTTCCACCATTTTTGAGTAATCTTGAGAGCTATTGGACGGAAATTGAAGGGGATTTCGACTAGGTGTGATTGGAGGCGAGTTCCTTGACCTTAATACATGATTTAAAGGTAGAATTAACATGGAAATTTGTGGAAATTCATCAAAAGAGGGTAAAGCTAGGGCTTGGGAATTTGGTATTTCAAAATGGAATTTGAGGGGTCAAATGGACTCCGATTTTGGTAAATTTGATATGCATAGATTCGTGGCGAGATAAGAAATCCGGTGATGTTAATTTTCTGATTTTTTCGATAAGTGGGCCCGGGGCTCGGGTTTTGCCAACTTCGTGAATTTCAATGTTTTTCGAGTCTTTTCGATTGGGTTATATTCCCTTAGCCTATTGTAACGTATTCGTTGTGGTTTTGGCCAGATTCGACGCGCGGGGAGGTTGATTTGCGAGGCAAGGGTATAGCGAGCTAGGATTTTGGCCGGCTTGAGGTGAGTAATGGTTATAAATGATGTCTTGAGGGTTTGAAACCCCTGAATTTCACAACGTAGTGCTATGTTGAGGTGAGACACACGCTGCATGATGAGCGTGGGGTCCATTACTGCTGGGGATTTGAACTTGGTCCATCCCGATTGATGATTCTACTGTATTTTTGACTAAGACTTAAATTTTATCATTATAGTTTGGGCTAGTTGCCATGTTTGGGGCCTTGTGCCGACTTGTAGAACCCTTAGGGGCATTGGTACTGATTGACCTCATGTTA